CCCAACTGTTAAGAGTAGTGATTGGTGGCCAAAGAGAAGCTATAAAATATTTATTTTACAAAAAAATGTAAAAAAAAATTCTTTGCTTCTAAGGAATGAAAAGAATTATTTATGTTTCCAAGATCTACAGTAAGGATGAATAGGGCAACCCCTCCCTGTTATACAGAGGTTCATTCAGGAGTCTCTGCGGTTTCCAGTATCCACCTGTGGTCTGGGAATGAACTCTTTTTTGATAAAGGGAGGCGAGTACATCATGTACACTACAATCATCGTTGACCACAGTGACTCTTCCTGGAGCATGATATGATGGCTTAGATGAAAACACGGAGGAATACAGCAGGAACAGCAACCTGATTTATCACTGGAACGTGAAAGTTGCTCTGTGTGTGTGTGTGTGTGTGTGTGTGTGTGTGTGTGTGTGTGTGCATGCGCACATGCACATTTGCACGGGTGTATGTAGAGGTGAGAGGTCAACCTTGGGTCACTCCTCATACACTATCCACCTTGTTTTTTGAGACAGCATCTCTCACATGGTATGGAACCCACCAGTTAGGCTGTCCAGACTGGCAGTATTCTCAGGCATCCCCCTGCCTCTGTCTCCCCAGCACTAGGATTTCAAACACACACTATCATACCTGACTTTTCACATGTGAGTTTGGGGTCCAAACTTTGGTCTATGTGCTTCTGCGGCAAGTTTACTGATGGAGCCATCTCCCTGCCCACTACAGCCATTCTTTATATCGCATCCCTGTAAAGCAACTTTCTTTCATGAAAACTTCCAGCAGCCAGGGAAGGATCACTAAGTACACAGCCCCAGGTCACAATATATGGCTTTATGTGTTTTCATTTTTTGTCTATGTGCTTCTGTGGCAAGTTTACTAATGGAGCCATCTCCCTGCCCACTACAGCCATTTTTTTTCATATCACATCCCTACCAAGCAACTTCTTTCATGAAAACTTCTAGCAGCCAGGGAAGGATCATTAAGTACCACAGCCTCAGGTCACAATGTATATGGCTTTATACATTTTCATTTTTAAAAAATTCTACTTTACTTATGATGTATATACACTAGGAATGACATGGGCAAGAATGACGGCCAAAGAAAAGAACAAAAGCCTAAGGGTGGTGTAGTACAAGAAACATCTTTGGGAAAGGTTGGAGACATAGCAGGTAAGGGGTCGTGGGAATGGAGCACCAGAAGCAAGCCTGAGTTTCTCGACATCTTTAGAACAAAAGGGGAATGATGTGGGCATCCCCTCTGCATGCTGTGATTACCATTAATGAATAAAGAAACTGCTTTGGACCTATAGCAGGGCAGAGCTTAGGTAGGCAGGGAAGACAGAACTGAATGCTGGGAGAAAGAAGGGTGGAGTTGGGGAGAAGCCATGGAGCTGCTGCCAGAGTCAGACATTCCAAAATTTTGCTGGTAAACTACTGCCACGTGGCAATACACAGATTAATAGAAATGGGTAAAATTAATATGTAAGAGTTATACAATAAGAATCTAGAGCTAATAGGCCAACCAATGATTTAATTAATACAGTTTCTGTGTGATTATTTTGGGTCTAAGATAGCCAGAAGGCTGGGAACTAACAAGCAGTCTCCCACTCACTACAGGGGAACCTTAGCTCTTTCTATCAGAAACAAGGAAACACATTGTGTTTCCAAAGGAAAAGATAGTCTCCTGTGTTCTATGTGATTTATGACTTTTTTTTTTTTTTATACTCTGAACCTTTAAGAGGCACAGTGCCCAGTGGCTATTTGCCAGATGTCTTCCTGGAATCATAAAGACATTTCTTAAAACAATCCTCAATAGAAACTGAACTCTAGTTTTAAAAAATGGATACATGGTACTTAATCGCTTCAGTAAGTCAGTTTCCAGTTACATGTCCCAGATGAAGGCTTGGAACCCATTTCTGGAGATGCTTTCAGAGACACGGGTTCCATTTTTCTCTATTTTCTAGAAGACATCTGACGCCAATGAAAGCTTCCTTGCTCTGTTCTCCTAACAGAAAGACGTTCAAATGATCGCACCCTTTCCTTGGCCACCCTAAGATCCTGCTTTGCAGTGGTTTCCCCCTCTGCAGACCACTGTGAGACAGGAACTTGGGGAGAAGGATCCAGACATGCCACGGCTTAACCCTAACTCTTGATGCATTGGGAAAAGTGGGGCCCCATGGAGCACTAAAGACCTGCTCAGAGCCCATTTGACATCTGAATCAAAAGAAGTAAAAGATTTAGAGTGTTAGTCCCCTAAGAATCTTGTCATCTTTTTCTTGGCTCTTGCCTTTGGTGTAGAAAGTTGTTTTGTTTTGGTTTTATTGCTATTTTTTGAGCAGGTTTCATATAAGTAGAAATAGATGCATTTATACGTTGTGGTAGAAATCATTTCAAATTGTTTAGTTTTTAAAAAGAGACTATTTTTATTTTTTATTTGTGTGTCTCTCTGTGTATATTTGCACATACATGCTGGTGCCCACAGAGGCCAGAAGCGGGTGTTGGATTCCTTGGAGATGGAGTTGGAGGTGGTTGTGAGCCACAAGACCTGAGTGCTAGGAACTGAACTCTTAAGAGCCGAACCATCTCTTCATCCCAAACGTTTAGTTTTTAAACTCCATAATCAGGCTGCTATGCTAATAGTATTCAATGAAAACCAATTCCTAAGGAAACTTTTTGAAACCTGTCTGTGTACATTATAATCAGATGCTGATTGGGTGGCCCTGGAATTAGCAGTTAGGGAGATACAGTAGCTACTGGCAATACCATCAATTTAGTTAATTTAATTTCTGATAGCTGCCTATCAGCACATTTAAATCTGAGTCTTTTTGTGCTATTTTCAGTTGTCAAGTGTCCACAAGAAGCCCATATGGTAACTCTTGCTTTTCCAGGACACTGTTGGGAGGAGGCCGGGTCTAGCAGAAGGTCTTCAGGGCATTGTGGACATACTCTAGCGGGGAATTAGAGGATCTCAACCCCTTTATCTTTCTCTGCTTTATTAGATTTTTTTTTATGGTTGCGATTGATGTTAAAATACACCCAGTTTATAAACATGAAGACTCTATGGGAATGATTTAGGCTTAAATTGTGGATAGATTCAGAGTGAATCAATTTATTTATTTTTATACTTTTTTTTTTATGTGCACGAGTGTTTCCCTACATGTATGTTTGTGCACCATGTGCATGCTTGGTGCCTGGGAAGACCAGAAGAGGGTGTCAGACTAGGACTGGAGTTGTAGATGACTATGAGCCACCATGTGGGTGCTGGGAACTAAATCTGGTCCTGTGCAAAAGCAGCCAGTGTTTGCCATCTCTGAGTCCTTCTTACATCTCGATAAACTCAGAGCTTAAAGCACTAGCATCTCGGCTGGATTCTGCTTCCTTCTGCATGGCGGCTTCATTATCAGGTCCCATGTGGTGAGGAGCTATGCCATAGCTACTGTCCTGTACTTCTCCAATGTAAATCCAGTAGCAGCAAAAGCAAATACTTTGACTTAGCGCCTCCAACCAAATTCTGGCATTAGTTTTGGTGTGATATGAATTTGGCTTGGTTAAACGAAAGGGTTCACACCAGATGGGTATAGAGTTAATTGATTGGTAGGAACCTAGAGATGGAGCTTTGAGACTAAAGATAGGAAATAAAGCTCCTGATAGACCATGCAGTATTGATGCTGGCTGGAAAAACACCAACCCTGGAGAAAGTAACGGAGGGGGTGTAGGTAGTCTGTAGGGATGGGACTGATTTTGCAAGAACATGTTCTCATGCTTGAGATGGTAGCAAAGATGACACGCATAGGTGATTAAACATGTGGTGGGGGGCAAGTTGAGGAAACACATGCTAAATAGTTTTATTTTCAACCAAAAGCCATGGGAAGAAATATGTAGTGTTTAAAAAATATCTTAAATCTATTGCACCAGTTACACTACATCAAATACCAACAGACAGAAACAGAAACGAAAATTGTATAGCTGGTAGATCAAAGAAATGCTTTTGTTTTCCCCAATTTAGACATAATCTTTATAACACCCAAGCATGACTTTTAAACGTCACAAAATTCTTCCTAACATCTTAGTTGCATACTGTTCCATGGAATAGATGGCTCATAACTCAGACATTCTGCTGAAAAAGGCATTGCAATTGCTTCTATTGTCAATGTTAGAAATAATGTACGAATTATTACATATTCAGTTACTGTTTTTTTTTCTTGAGATGTCTTTTACAGCACATGTTCCCAAGGGCAAGATACTGGTGTGAAAGACAATGTATATTTTGTGTCTCCTAAGTTTGCTACAAAATGATAATAGTTCATGAGGCATATGTGAGTAACCATCAATCCCCCCAGTCATATCTGAAAATACTAGCTTTATCCCATTAATACCTATAATACCTATTATATTATTAATACATATAAGAGAAGAGCTAATAGAACACATTAAACCACTCCCACCAGGAGGGAATCTCACACTTCAGCATGATAACATATTCCATGTTCACAATAAGTGAGGGAATATTTATAAGCCCTCTGTTACAAATAGGGAAACAAAGACCCAAAAAGATAAGTAAGTCACCAAGGGCCCCATAGCTAAGAATGAGAGACCTGGTTTTTGGACCATGGGGATTGAACCCAGGCAGTGCATACCCAGTCATGAGGCTGTGTTGCCTTGAGATGATTTTGGATGGATGTTTCCACAATCCTGTTAATGGCTATCGACTCCAGTGGGAGGATTTCATCAAGCCCTTATCGGCTAGGTTCTTGATAATTCTGTCCCAGAGTAGAGGAAATAGTGGAGTTTTTATGATTCGAATGCCTCAGATAGGGATCGATTTACTGTAAGTCATGTGTTTTCTTTATCCCTCACCATGTGTGTGGTGTTTGAAATTTAAAATAATTTCAAAAAATCCAAGTATTTTTTATCTAACTGAGGAACACCAGAGTTTTTCATTTTAGCTCTGATGGTAGCCTCATCTAATTCGTCCCTGCTGGTTTCCATGAAAACATACCTTTTTTGTGTGCTTGAACATCTGAAATGTGGGCACGGCTTTGATGTGACAAAGTTGAGCCAATTCCTGGGAAGAAAAAGGGGTGTCGTCAAGTCACAGTTTTGGTTCCTTTTCTCTGTTTCAAGTGACTTCTAAGAAACAGTGTCTTAAAGTCTAAGGGCACCTGACACTTTACAGGATTTTCCCAACATACCCTCAAAGGCCTCCAGGACAACCCCTGTGGAAAGAAACTCTTGGGTTTCTCATTCCAGAGCTCTAGGTGAGGGATGAGATGAAGGGCAAATGTAATGGATGTGGAGTTCCTAACGGAACTGCATTTAACAACGCTGAGTGGGCAGAGGAGCCCCAGGAAGCCTAGTATGGAAATGCCGTATTGCCAAAAGAGGAAGGAAAAGGCATGTCTTCATCGGTCACACTGGAGACAGGCATGACACACTCAAGGTTAGCGCAGCCTTTTCTTTACGTCTTGTTTTCCTTTCTCCCTCACTACTTATCTTTACTTCTGAAACTTTTGGAGCCCAAGGATAAGAGAAATGGTTTGATTTCAGACCAAAGCAAACTGCATCCAAGTGGTATTTCTTGTTTGTTTGTTTGTTTGTTTCCCTTATTTAGAAGTTGACTAAAATTAGCTGTCCATGAACAAAAAAGAATTGAACTCTCTCGCTGATATGCTATTTGGTCGACTTTAATTCTTCCACCCACAATACACACAAAGAAGCATTGTACACACACTAAGTTGTATGTTTAGTTATAATTGCCATGACAACTGTTAATCTATGTTATTAATAGAAAAGTGTGTCTTTTGCTTCACCTTAAAAGGCAAAAAGCTAGCTGGGCAGTGGTGGCACACACCTTTAATTCCAGCACTTGGGAGGCAGAGGCAAGCGGATCTCTGTGAGTTCAAGGCCAGCCTGGTCTACAAGAGCTAGTTCCAGGACAGCCAGTGCTGTTGCAGAGAAACCCTGTCTCGAAAAACATAACAAAATAAACCAAAAAAGAAGACAAAAAACTATAATTGAAAAGCTGAGAGCAACTCAGCTTTTGGCAAGATTTTGGGAAATCAGGACTGTCTACTGGAGCAGAGAGAATGGAAAATGATGTAGTTTCTTTACAAGATGGTTTTCCAGTGCCTCCATATACCACCAGAGTGTCGTGGCAAGAACTACGCATGTAGATACAGCTTCAAAAAGAAATCAAAATTTGTACTCACACAGAAATTTATGCAGTAAAATTTATACAAAAATTATCACAATTGCCCAAATCTTCTCAGGGTGCCAAGTTAGTGTCAGGCTGACACATTATGACAGACTATGGCACAGAAGGTAACTAGTGTTTGGTTTTCTGATCATTTTAAAGCTCAGCTTCCATCCAATGCTTGGGTAGGTCGCTTGTTACCTTTTCTGCTATAGTGTGAATGCTGAGTGGCTCTCCTGTATCAGCAGCCTGGTCTCCAGCATGGAGCTATTGGAGGTGGTGGAACCTTTAAGAGGTGGGGCCTTACCCAGAGGCCTTCAGTCCTTTCAGGCTGTGCCTAAAGGGGACTGTGGGTTGCTGACCCCTTCTCTTTTTCTTCCTGCTGCTGAAGGGATCACTTTGCCCTGCCATGCACTCTTGTTCAAATGTGCTGCCTTCTACAGGTCCAAAAGCAACTAGGCTTTGATCAGGGACTCGAATTTCCAAGATGGTGAGACAAAATGAACCTTTCTCTTAGGCACTTTTCTATAGTGACAGAAAGCTAATTAATATAGTTACATTTCCTTATTGTAAATTAACAACTCCTAGGAAGAATAAGTCCCAGAAGATTTTATATTGTAATAAGACGTATTTGGCTTAAAACTAGGAGGCTGATTATTTTGTGGGGAGGCATAGGAGAAGAGGGAGGCTGTATCTAGGGACAAGAGGGAAGGATTTCATGGAATTTTTATGCTATATAAGCAACCTCCCCCTCAAAGAAACAAATACAGGATACAAAAATGAGATATGTCAAAATGTCTATCGTTATTGAGCTAAGTTTTTAAAAATTATTAATAATTTACCACAACCTGAAAATATTTTTTTTACCATGGCTTCATTGTAATATCTGCCTAGATTCATTGTAATGTCTCAGGCTTCTTAATGCTGCGACCCTTTAATACAGTTCCTCATGTAGTGGTGACCCCATCCATAAAATTATTTAGTTGCTACTTCATAAGTATAATTTTGCAATTGTTATGATCATAATGTAAATAACTGGCACGTAACCCCAAAGGGGGCGTGATCCACAGGTTGAGAACACAGGCCTCGAGCATCAGGCTGAGGAGCGAGTGGTGAAGACTCTTGGGAGTGACTCGTGCTGTCTGCCACAGCAGCAGGGAGCATCATAGATTTGCTAACATTTAAAGAAGATTGTGTAAAACAGTTTGCTACATTTACCACAAAAGCAAAGATGTGGAATTCCACTTGTGTTTAGTTAGCCAGGTGGTGTCATGGCTTTCATAGAGTGACTCAGTGTAGTGATATTGCATTCGGGTTTTGACGCTCTGCACACAGGGTTTAAGAGGCTTACCTTCGATGAGTCCACATCCACATTAGCAAACGTGACGTTTTGGTATTTTAAAGACATTGCCTTCAAGACAAAAGAATACAATAATGTGAATATCAACATTTGTACTCAAAATGTCATTTTTGAAAAGAAGACACGTGTGACTGGGTTGTTAAAGAGACCCAGGCATTATTCTGAAAGGTCCTTACAGTCCAGGCCCTGAAACTCCTCAAGGTCAATCAAGGACGCATTGCAGAGTCTATGAACAAAACTGAAGATTGGCGGTTCAAGGTTTGAGGACCAAACCCAGAGCAACTGAGTGGAGTGCAGGGGGCCAGGCCAACCCTGCTGGGGGGGTTGGGGGGGGAGGACCAGTGGGGCCAGGCCAACTCTGTCGGGGGTGGGGAGGCCAGACAGTGTTTCCCTGAAGGTGTTGAGATTACCTGTAATGGCTTTCAAATTTTGTCTGGGGTGTTGGGGGTGGGCTTAGAGCAGTTTTAGAAGTCCTGCCATGGTTCTAGCATCCCAACAAAGGATGCAGTTCTCTGACCCAGACATGTGCTTGGTGCTTTGACCTTCTTGTCTTGACATGGCTTGGGAGGTGTGATGCTGGTGGCCTAGAAGGTTTCCCTGATGATCATCATCAGCCTGGTTTTCTCCCACCCACTCAAACTCTTCGCAATCTATCATATATGGAAACGAGATTTTCCAGACTCCCTTGCCGGCTGATTTCTAGCTAGCCAATGGGAAGCCATGAAAGGTGGTAGGAGGAAGGGGCTATCTCCTGCTTCTATTTTGTTCTGGAAATGTCTTTAACAGAAGTGGTGATAGCAAGGTCTTGACTCAGGGGGTGCAGATGAAGGATGTTTGTGACTTACGTCAGCACAGATTTGTGTTCAGACAGCTGTGTGCACACTTTGTGGGCACCTGATCATGTCCTGGTTTGTTTAAAAGTCATGTCACAGCAGTTCTGGTCACCTCTGTCAAATGAGACTACTCCTGGAAGGTGGCACACAAGGGGTTCAAAGCTTGGCCAGGCAGAGTCAATACTAGATGGAGCCATCCGCGGGAGGGAGAAGCCGGAAGCTGCAAGGCGTTGGAGGGCTTAGGTGGACTTGTGAGAAGCCTGCTGCCGGCAGCCTGCCCTCTGATTCTGTGTGTGGGTTGTGATTTATGTGGGGGTCCTGTCTCCTGTGGTCCCTTGAAATAGTGATATGGGAGACAATTCTTGTATAGTGAACACAAACACCTGTGGGGTTTGAGAATATTTTTCAGACTAAAATGATGGTTCTGGACTGGGTGTGGCGGCACAGCTCTGATCTCAGCAGGAGAATCAGAAGCCTGAGGCCAGCAGGGAATAGAGGGAATTCTAGGCCAGATCAGCCTGTGCCAGAATCTGGTCCCGTCTCCGGCCTTCTCACCTGCTGTCCAGTGGCTTAAAAACATTTACTTCCTGGTATTAAAGTCCTTGTTTAACTTTATTTCTGTTTCCTGATTTGATCTCTGACAGATACCGTTGACTATAGCGCCTTCCTCCCAATCCCTCATGGACAAGAAGTTTAACAAAACCACACAAAGTACACGACTATGCTCCCTTATGATAGCCTGAGAGTTCCGGTACAGCAAACACAAAGTTCTTCCATTCCCGTTTCCCTACAGCCGTCACTTATTCACACACAAAAAAAATCCCCCTTTTTGATAGGCATCCTTCTGCTCTGTTTTATATGCATATATAGTGAATGAAGTTTGCATAATTCCTTTCAACTCTTGTATAATTGCTGTCTATCAAAAGATATGCTTTTCTTTTAGCTTTTAACTATGTACTATGTACATAGTATAGTATGTACTATGAATTTTTATGAGTAGGTTCATTTTATTTGATCAAGAATGCAACTGTTGGGACATAGATTAATTCAATGTTAATTGTTAGGTCATGGGTTGTTTAATGACTTAACATGCTATACTAAGTTATTTAGGGACCTTTATTTTTCTTCTAACATTCTAATATATATAGTTTATATGCTTTATAAGTAATTATTACATTATTTTCAGAGTGACTATATAGTTTTACCTTTATACCAACAAAAATATAACAGTACAGCTTCTCCAGTTAAAAAAAAAGACCAGGGTTTTAGGGCTAGAGATATCTGTGAGTAAAGTGTTTGATGTTCAGTCCTGAAGACCGGAGCCTGAGCCACAGAGCCCACATGACAAATATTTAGGTGTGGTGGCATGCACTTGTGATCCCATCTCTGGGGAGGCAGAAACAGATGGATCTCTGGGTCTCATTAACCATAAGCCAGGTTAGCCTTTTAGTGGGTTCCAGCTCGGTTAGAGACGTTGCCTCAAAAAAACAAACCAAACCAAATCAGCAACAGCAAACAAGAGGGTAGATGGTGTTTGAGTCTCTCTCTCTCTCTCTCTCTCTCTCTCTGTCTCTGTCTCTGTCTCTGTCTCTGTCTCTGTCTCTGTCTCTCTCTCTCGGCATGTTCTGTGCCCTTGACTGGCTACTGGCATCAGCTTTAAACTGTGCCTTTTGAGTGGATTCACACTTTTGTACCCAAGCCCTGACTATTTCTGTGGCATAGTTAAGGAGCCTTCTTTCTTAGTTTTGAGTGACAGAGTGGTCTGTCAAACACTAAAATGTTCCTTCCGGATAGTCCAAGAATTTTAGGCATAATAGGGATGCGAAGAGTCATGTAGAAGATGGGGGGGGGTGGCCCAGTGGGTAAAGCCCTTGGCATGAAAGTGTAAAGGCTGTGAGATACCTAGAACCCATGTAAAAGCCTTTTGGTATGGTGACCTACCTATATAACATCAGCACGCAGGAGGCAGAGACAGTGGGTCCCTAGAGCAACCTGGCTAGCCAGATTAGCTTGAACAATGAGCTTTGAGCTCTGCAAGAGACTTTGCTTCGATATGTGAGCCAGAGAGCAACTGAGGAAAACATATCAGCCTTGGACCTGCACATGTGAACACGCATACATGCATGTACACTATGCATATATGCAAATGCCAAAAAAGAAATGTCATGTAGCCCATTTCTTTATCTGCTACAAGTGCATTTACAATGAAATATTGTTGGTTGTGACTATTGCTAGAATTAGTTTTGCCAGATTTAAGAGGCCAAGTGAGAAAATCCAAGATGTTTAAAAACCACACTGAACACAGACTAGAAGGTTTTTAGTTGTATCATCGTGCAATTGGCCCCCATAATCTCATAGGGAGTGGCACTATTAGGAGGTGTAGCTTTCTGGGAGGAGATATGGCCTTGTTGGAGGAAGTGTGTCACCATAGGGCTGGGTTTTGAGAGTTCCTATGCTCAGAATACCCCTGAGTGTTTCAGTCCACTTCCTGCTGTCTTCTGGTCAAGATGTAACCATCACCATGTCTGCCTGCATGCCGCCATGCTTCCTGTCATGATATAATGGACCGAAGCCCTGGAACTGTAAGTGAGCCACCCCAGGTAAATGTTTTCTTTATAAGAGTGACCATGATCACGGTGTCTCTTCATAGCAATGGAAACCCTACCTGAGACAGTCTTCATGGGATTAAAACTTCTTTATATTTGGAGGAAGGAATACAGGTCACAAAGGTGACCACAAACAACCAGGAGAAAGAAGACTAAAATTCCCTAATATGGGGGCTGGAGAGACTTCTCAGTGGCTAAGAGCACTGCTGCTCTTCCAGAGGCCCCGGGTTCAGTTCTTGGCACACACGTGGCAACTCACAACTGTCTGTGACTCTAGTTCCAGGGGATCTGACGCCCTCTCGTGGCCTTCACAGACACCAGGTACACAAGGGGTGCACAGACATACACTACAGCTAAACACAAACATTGTGTCTCTCTGCGGTCTCTTTCAGTATTTGTAAGTTCTGAGTCCCGATTTAAGATGTAATGACATGAATTCCTGTTCATTTGTACACTGTTAATTCTTCAGCGCATCTCGGTGTTCCTTGTGGAATTGCCCACAGACAAATAATCCCAGTCTTTGGGTATTGCCTAGTGAGATTCCAGGATATTAGCTTCAGGTTCACTGGGATGCTTAAAAACAGACAAACAAACCACAAAACAGCAACAGAGCTACAACCTATGGATAGTTCAGAAACAGAAAAACTTCAGAGTGGCTGGGAAAACTTTTGCGGGCCTAGATTCCATTGGCATCCCTGAGACAGGTGCTGGAAATCCTTACCTGGAAAATGGGACCAACCCTTTTGCAGGGGCCACACCACCTTGCTGAGAACTCCACCACCACAAGCCTGCTCCCAGCAGCCCGCAACAACTCTTTAAATTCATCCTAAAACCAGAACACAGGGGGAAGTGCGCATGGTCACAGACTATCCCAAAGTCCTTACGGGAAAGACAATGAACGGCTTGCCAAGGGTACCAGAACAGGGGAAGGCTACCAGGTGCCCTACCTGTTCGTCCTCAGCCTGGTCCAACCTTTGCTTAGTGAGTCTGAGGCAGGACATAGCTTTCTTTGTGAGTGCCCACAGTGGCGATACATTTGTAAATACATTAGAAGTCTGCTTACAAATGGCACAGTAGTGGCGGCTGCCTTTGGGTAGAGGCCGGCCAGCCAGGGAGGAATGAAAGTCTTAGCGTGAAAGCAGAACTGTGTGAGCGGGATTTCTGTATTCAGAAATTCTCAGCGCAGGTGAAACGCATCAATGGCGAAATCTTTTGCTTTATGGAGTGATTGCTCTTAACGTATCGATAAACACCACTCATTTCATGATTTGACTTTTTTTTTTCCTCTCTAAACTTCCTAAGTAAAATTTCCAAAACTTCTTGCTATCCCCTAGGTTAAAGTCTTCCATCCTGGGACCTCGGATCACTGTGTTTATATTTGCTTGTTGACTGCCCTAAACTGGTTGTTTGGGGCCTGCTTTTCCCTACTGAAGTCACTTCTAGTTTAACCTTGTCCTTCCCAGCCCCTCGCTTGCAGATGGTGAGCCCTTATGGGATGCCCGCCGGGTGAGAGAGTGCCAGCTGCAGGGAGTGCTCTTCCTGTCTCTTTTCTCACTAGCCACTGGAATTGAGGTTAGCGCATCCACCCCGCTGTATTCAGTACATATCCTCATTCTATCGATTTCACGGCCAAAGGCACAGATATCCGCCAGCTTCTCACGGCCAGCCCGTGGGTGGTGCTGTGGCTGGGATTGTTCATTGAGGCAGTCTGTCCTTCAACCATTACTGATGTCTCCCAGTGATAAACCGAACTCCGTTCACTGTGGTTAATGGCATCACCTTAAGCTCCCTGGACTAGCTGTTAATCAGGCTAGTTCACAACTGGATTAAGACGAGCAGGGCTAGCCGTCTTAGGAGTGGACTTAATTCCACAGCGATGGCATGCTTGCCCTTCAGCAAGGGAACTTGATAATTAAGTCCCATTTGGTTTAGTTTCAGGCAGATGAGGCTGATGATTCAAAGAAGAGGCTCCCACTTCCCAGACCTGTATTTCTGCAGGATGGGCGGCTGAGTCTCTCGCAGCCAAGACAGGCCTCTGTTTTTCAGTTACATTTCTATTTCCTGAGGTCTTAGAGATTAAATCCAGGGCATAGCACAAGCTAGGTGAGATCTGTCTTTAGCCCTCTTATTACTTTCTATTTTGAGACAGAATTTCACTATCTTGCCTAGGCTGGACTTTACATTCATTATATAGCCTAGGCTAGCCTCTAACTTGAAATCTCCTGCCATTGTCTCCTGAGTAAGCCGAAGGACCAGCCTGCACCACCACCGTGGCTTCTCACGCGCTTTTGACATTACCTAGCGAGCTCCACGTCAACCAGAGTCACATGGGCTCTTCTTTGAGTGAGACTCCAAGACAAAAGACATGAAACAAACAAAAGAGTGAAAAGATCTCCCTGGACATAGAGCAAGGGAGGGAGACTGGGTAGAGTGTTTCCCAAGTCTCACTGAACATTGCTTTGGAATCATCTTTTGAAAGATTTCATGAAGCCAACCAATACTTGCCATGTTGTTAATCACCTGCACCATGATTAACATCTGGGATTCACTGCTGACCCTCTCCTGTTGGCTCAGGTGGATCACTGTATCTCTCCCATTAATTACGGCATTCTGGATGGAATATAAAGGTAGCTTTTCTATGACATCATTGAATAGGTCATCTCAGAACCTGGAACTTCGGCAGACTTTGAACCTAGTTTCACCTTTAAGCTGTGGCTAGGCAACTAGCTGGCCAGTCAAGAATTGGAAAACCAAGGACCTTGGATGCAGAAGCCATCTGGTTCCCTCATCTTGATCTTTCCCCTTTTGTCATTGATTTCTTTACATTTCTTTCTTCTCGGATCACTACCTGGTGGGGGAGGTCCTTCTGTCTATGGTTTGCTTTTAATTGGTTAATGAATAAAACTGTTTCAGCCAGTGGCTTAGCAGAATAGGCCAAGGTGGGAGTTCCAAGCAGACAGAGGAGGAGGAGAGCGTAGGCAGAGTGAGTGAGAAGCCTTGTAGCCTCTGCTGGAGCCCGGCCACGACCTCTTGGTGATGCACAGATTAATGGAGATGGGTTAGTTTAGAATGTAGCCAATAAGAAGCTAGAGCTAATAGACCAAGCAGTGATTTAATTAATACAGTTTCTGCGTGTTTTTTGTTTTTTGTTTTTTTTTGGTCTGAGTGTCCGGGAACAAACAAGCATGCCTCAGACAACGTCTACCTAAGTAGAAAACACCAGAAACTCATAGCTGATTTCATTTAGGATTTGAAAGAAACTGTGCTGTCCCTTGGCTGCCATTCAGTGGGTGGCATTGTTGAGGGATAGATGCCCTCTCCCCCTTCACCTTCGCCACCTGCAGCAGGCAGGAGAGTTGACCTAGGGGCACGAGAGCAGGAGAGCTGGCCCTGCCCTTCACCAGCTGCAGCGTTTGGGAGAGCGGACTCTGCAGCTCAACTGAGCGGCATAGTAGAGCTGCCCCCCCCCCCCCCCCCCCNCGTGGTGGCCAGAGCAGTGCTGGAGAGCTTGCCTTGGCGGCGAGGATGCAGGAGAGCCGGCAGGCTGACCAGTTCAGCTACCACTCAGGTCCAGATTCAGAATTATGAGTTGGTTCGCCTCAACATCCACCCCATCCACGAGCTGCTGGAGCTCCCGTCCTGCAGGTCCAACCACACAGGACAACAGCAGGATTCCCAAGAGGAGGTTCAGTGAGGATCCAGTACTGACAGTGTCGCAGAAGCCAGAGGCCTCGAAACAGACCCATGACTCACTGTAATGAACATTTGCCAGTGCAGACATATGAACTAAAGGTGACTCACTGTGACACACTTCAGCTTCCACGCTGAGACTTTTGTTTGTTCACTTTTATCTTTTTTTTTTTCTATTTTTTTTCTCTTTGTAGAGGGAGGCTGCAAGGGCAGAGGGTAGACACAAAGTGACGGGAAACAAGTGGGATTGAGGTACATAATGTTAAACCCCAAAACAAACCCTGTGCTGTTTAGAAAAGTACTAACACCTTAATCCTATAGTGAGCTTCCTGTAGATTCATTTTATGACTCACAGATTCCAGAATGTGTCTGTTTTGTTCTAAGCTATGTAAAAAAAAAAAAAAAAAAAAAAAAAAAAAAAAAGACTTCACTTTCACACAGTCAGAGATTGGCAAACTTTTTAGTAATGGGCAGATAATATTTTAGGCTTATCAGACCACAGACCATTGTGTGGTGTGGCACCATCTATCTTTGTGTTTACAACTTTTAAAAACTGTAAAAGAAACTTAAAATTCTTTGCTTGCAAACTGTACACAAAAAAGCAATCAAGTTAAGATTTTTCAGAATTGAAACAAAACAAACAAATCTGGCCGTGGCTTCTGTTTCTCAATTTCTCAGCAACAAGGTCACCAGAAAATATGAGAAATAGCTATTTCTACAATAAAAGTGAGGAATATCTTTGTCTGGGTTTTTCACGCCCCAGGCCTGTGTTGGTGGCTGAGAGACAAGCGGCTCCACCTGCAGGGGAACAACGTTCCTGCTCCTGCTCTAATTTGACCTTGGTCTTCCTTGCCTGGGAAAGCTGAATCAGGAGTGGTCAACAGCAAGGTGTTGTTTTTGGCAGTGGGTGTGCTGCTAGCTTCTTCTTCAACAAACAAGAGAGATTATCTCTGATGTCTGCCACTTTCTGCCCCCGGAAGTGTTTGCTTCTTTTGCTCATCTAGACCCTGTTGGCATTAGAACATGGTAGCTTTCCACTTTTGACCCTTCTGTCAGCCCAGCCAGGGTCTGGCAAATTGCAGCACGAAACAAAACAAACATAAACAAAAACCCCAAAATACAAACTTCATGATTAAAGATCGAAGGTCTTATCTTCATGAATTCTCCTTTCCTTCTTTCAGTTTTCATTCAAGAAGGGAAGACGGGTGTGACGCAGATAAAGCATCCTCTCTCTGAACAAGGCCTTCCAGCTGAAGCCCTACCGAAGCGTTGGACCATAGTTTTCGCTATCATAGAGGGTGGGGGACCTTGTCTGCATAGTAGGATATTCAATAGCACGGGGATGCTGGACTCTACCTACTGGTGTCGTTAGCATCCCCTAGCGGTCATAGCCATAAACGCCTTCTGGGGGTGCAAACTTGTGCCTGCATTCAGCAACAACTGCTTTGCCATGGAGGGCTGACTTCTAGACAAGGGTTTACCTCGCAAGTTCCTGGATAATTTCGCCTACTCTCTGTTAGGAGAAGCGCAGCGGGGTTTGAAGCTTTATGTTGCGAGAATTGATTTAGAATCATGGCACACAGAGAGACAAGGCTAAAGGGGATAGTTCAGAGGTAACTTTCAGACAATTAATGACAAGTGTCTGCCTCATCCTTTGGTTTCTGGAGTGCCGTGAGGCTGGGCTGTACTTCTGTCCTCCAGTGCTAAGACTTGTAGACTTCCACGGAATTTGCTGTCAAGCAGCTTGCCCAGCCCTAGGGCAAGGGAGTACAGATGAAGGCGTACGACAGCCTTTTTTTTTTGTTCTTAACCAGGATTTAAGCAGGCATTAAAAACCAGCAAAGAGTCAGGTTTACAATACTCATATCTTAAAAATATGTTCGCTACATTGGTTCATAAACAGGGAAAATTTCTAGCCCCAGAAAAAGTGGTTCCAGCGAATGACTTTCTTGAACTAGAGAAGTCTGGCCATTCCCTTTGGCCCTGGCTAGCTGCATTGCTCCTGCAACGTGTCCTCACGCGCATTTTCCTAGACCTAGACTTGTTCCTGATATCGTCATTGGAAATGTCAAAGTCAGCGGCAGTCTGGGAGAGTTTCCTTAGGAACAACTAGAGCTGTATTTTTTGTTCTCCTTTGTTTTGTTTGCTATATAAAAAATTTAAACAGAAACACAGTCCTGAGAGAGGGTTTAAAAACTTCCTAAGATGGCAGGAAAACCAGAGAGCAAGAGTGGATAGGAAATAAGTAGAGAGATGAAGGGGAAAAGGAAGCAGGGGAGAAGAAGAAGAACAGAAGAAGACAGAGTTAGAATATAGTCAATGAAAGAAAGAGGGTCAGGAGGGGATTGTAGACAGAAACAAAGACTTAAAGTGGGACTTTCACTGTGTGCAGATGAACAGTGAATTCTCTTTGGTGTCCCAGCCCTCGCTATTCAAGTCCCACATAGACCTTGATTCAAGGTGAAGGCCTCATTGACATCACCTGGGAGCCTGGTAGACCTGTAGGGCTCCAAACTCTCCATCAGATCCACGGAGCAAGAAAGAGCCTGCATCCTGAGACCGCATGTTACTCGTGCGCATGCTACTATCTTAAAAGTCTGATTCTAAAGCTCTGTTTCTAACTGAGGCTCTGTAGACCAGTGAAGGAACTCCATCCACGTGGCCTGGGAACTGAGCTCATTCCCAGACCCCACCCTGGGCTTACTGACTCAGAAGCTCTTAGGGTGAGGCCCAGCAGCGCAGGCTTTAACACGTCCTCCAGGGGTTCTCTTGCAGGTTCAAGTTTGAGCAGTATTGGTGTAGATGGAAGCAAAACAAAACGCAGCTGGATTGATTTATGCCAGTAAGGGGCACGGCAGCTTCAGCACCCCAAAGCGGTGGGGCAACGTTCAATATACTTAACCCCTTCGCGGCTTGGTGCTAATCAACCAGGATGGAAAGGGCCTGCAGCACAGCTGCTCAGTTCTTGCTGGGCAGTAACCCTTTTGATGCTGGATTTGGGGGAGAACCAGGATATTTTCAAGGAGGGACTTGTCCAACCTCAGTGAGGTGGGAAAAAGGGAAAGAGAGGTGAGACCCGAGGCTATTGACCATCATGCATGAGTGTGTGTGTGTGTGTGTGTGTGTGCATGTGTGTGTATCAAAGCCAGGACCTTGACCATGCTAGACAAGTGTGTTAGCACTGAGCTATTACCCCCCCCTCAGTTTTCCACCAAGTATTTTATAATAATTTATCACCTAATGTGGCTCTCTCTGTGCGTATCATCTGAACAGTGACTTGTGATATTGATAATGAATGTAACGAACAGCTGCCCTCCCTACACACCAAGTTTTCAACATCAATACCCCAAAGGCAAGTGGTTTGTCATAAAACAATCAATGTGTTTGTGGGGCTGGAGAGATGGTTCAGGAGTTAAGAGCACTCGTTGCTCTTGTAAGGGTTGGTTCAGGAGTCAAGAGCACTCTTGCAAGGGTCCCTGGTTCAGTTCCCACTCCTCCAGAGGCCA